ATATCACGGAGCCAAAAAAATCTCATTTTTGTCATCTTCAGAGAGGATTTAGCTTGAAGGCAAGAATCATATTCTCAAAATGGACGATGACCCTCAACGGTCGGAGAAATCACTTAGGGAAAGCAGACCGATGACACCTCAACATTTCTCAGTTGACTCTGGGCAGCTGACACATAGCCCATTGAAGAAAAGGTTTTATCATTTCAAACCTTTTATATTTTTTTACAATGAAAAAGCACATAAAAATTTTTAATGTTTCCTAAGTCTAATTGACACTCGGGGAACTCAAACCCAAGTAGCAATGTCAAAGTTGTCTAATCAGCAGAACAACCCACAATTCTCTCGCATTTTGAACCTTGGTCTCCAAACTCGAATCAGATAAGTATCTATAGGTGGTTCCCTGCTTAATAGCAATAAGCTCTGTGAATGGTACCAAGTAAATTAACCCAAGAAGCAAGCCTCCATGATTAACTCCGCGAATGCAGCTTCAAGATTCGCTCAGTAAGCCTAGCACAAGGGGTAATCTTAATGAAGAAAATCCGACCAAGCAACTGAGATTTGGAAAAGAGTAAGATGCAATCTAGGTGCCAATACCTTAAAATAATTTGATAGTGATGGGAAAAATGTTTGATTGGTAGAACATCGACATCAACACCATAGATGTCCGATCGACGTCCTAACATTAAAAATTAAACCCTCAATGTCAAACATAAGAAAACTCATGTCTCTTACCTCAACATAGATAAAGCTCTAGAGGCAGTTCCTTGCTTATTAGCGATAAGCTCCACAAAGAGTAACCTACAAATCACCTTAGTAGTGAGATCGACAATTACCCCTGCGAAGGTGGTGACAAGGTCCACTTAAGACTTGGCGAAAGGTGCGGCTTGAGCGAGATGATGACCAATGATCTTTCCAAAGATTTAAGTCATCAACCATTACCAACACAAACTACCATGAGCAAACAGTGAGGTGAAGGTAAAATAACAAAAGAAATGAAGGAAAACCAAAAATGGCAGAAAACTTCATTCATTTCTAAATATAAAAATGTACAAGTTATCTCTGCAAAAAAGTTTTCAAACAAAAAATATATATCTTTACAAAGCTCTCTATCAGAAATTTTTTCCTAAATCACAGGAGGCTGACCGAAGTTTAGAGTAGAAGATCCCTCGTCGCCTCCAACGTTTCAGTCCTCTCTTGTAAATCCCTCAGAACTAGTTTTATGCACAACAAATTCCTCTAATTTTGCAAACTTGGGGTCCACTAGATTCGACCTAATGAATTGTTCGATCGTCACGAAGATACTGACCTGAAGCTACTCATTCAGGATTTTTACTTGTTAGAGATTAGAATGAAGCATCTAAAAGTACTCTTCTTTGGTCTTTATAATCACTATTTTCTTTTTCATCATCTGATTTTCTTGTTTGGCGACCGACAAAAGCTCAGTTAGAGTAGAGATCTCGTCTTTCGCTGTCTTGAGCTTACATTTGGCCACCATTGCTAGCTCCTTCGCCTCTTTGCAAACATAGCCGAAGTCTCAGCCCTCTTTTGTAGTGGTATCCCATATTGATTCAACCCAGCCCTCTTGTTTGATTGATTTTTATGCCTATCTATTAGCCCTCTTTGTAGAGTAATTTTTTAAAATGTTTCATGATGTGGAATTTGATCTTTATTTAAAGATTGAATTGCATTTAACCACAAATTTGGGGTTTGAATTTGATGAGATATTGATCTTTCGACTCACATCCCCCACTCTTGGATCATCCAAACTTAATTATCTTACAATCCTCAACAATTTGAATAATTACCATTATGTTTTTAAGTAGAAAATAGTGTGAATATGTTTCTACCCTTTTACCCTTGCATTTCAATCATCTCATTAAGTCAAATCATTCTAATAAGTACCCTCTCCCTCTGGTTTGACTTAATTTTTTAATTTGGGTATAGAATTCTAAAATTACAATTTTACCCTAGGGCTTTCTACCCCATAGTACTTCTAATTTAATTCAAGTAACCATGAAACTTTGTTGGCAGATTACTCATGGGTTAATTGAAACATCATGGGAGAATTTGCTTTTCATTTATATGTAATGAGAATATATATCAGATTTCTTGAATCAACTTCTCCCGCCCCCTCTATTCACAATCCAAGGTCTAGCGTAGGCCTAGCCAAACATCCAAAAAAAATTTTATTTTTTGTTGAAGGAAATTCACACGCCGCACAAATGCAAAGAATAAATCGATCGAGATCACTACGTTGCGCATGCTATAATTTTAATAAACATATTTTACATATTCTTATATATAAGAAAAAATATTTTTGAGCTACTATTAATCTCTTGGTGCAGCATATTATAACAAATATGTATGCATATACTTTGTTTTATATACCTCCCATGTTCACCTAACTTAATTAGTGCTGCGAATACTAATTTTTTTGGACGACCAAATCGGGCCTTCCCAAAAATAGGGGGCAACTGACATGTCACTAATAAAATTTTATCATCCAACACAAATCTCAAGACAAAATATGAATCTCGAGGCAATATTTTGAGCAAAAAACATTCAAACTTCAATTAAGAGTCATCTAGAGCTCTGATTTCAGCAAACTTAAAGTCAAACTTATCAACTTGATGAGACACACCCAATGATATCAAAATTAGTCAAATCCGAGTCAAATTAAGCTTAGATCAAGTCATTAAATCTCTCTAAAAAATTTTTCAGATAAATTTAGAAGGTTAAATGAATCCCGAATCTAGCAAGCCTATAGTAGAATTGATCTTCTCAAGAAGAAAAATCTAGCGAGCCCAAAATTACTCCATTTTGACATCAGTAAGGTACTCAAATGTTTATCAAAGGTCATTTAATTGAAAAAAGCTTTACGAACTATCCGATCAAAGTGATTCATATTCCTGTATTAATGGAACCCAGAACGTTGTAAATTGAGCCCCGCCCCTCTTCTAGGGGGGAGGGGGAGAGCTTGAGATTTGAGAAAAAACTTGAAGCTTTGATAAGAAGCTGAATTCCAGTACCACTCCTGCCACCGACCTCCATTGATCACCGCTGACCTCCATCGACCATCACCGATCACCTTTGACCACCGCCGTCCACCACCGTCCACCACCTGTTGGCTTCTACCGATCACCTTCGACTGATGCCCACCTCTTACAGCAAGTTCATTCGCACGTTGATGTTGTAATTCAAGAGACTTTGTAACTCTTTCTCACCTGTGGAATAAGGGGTTTCTATAATTATCAACTTGTAGTAGATTTTTACAACTAGGTCACGCATTGTGGTTTTTTTCCCTTTACGTGTTTTCACGTAAAAAACTTCTAGTGTGACTACTGGTTGTTTTCTTTTATCTGAGTGTGTGTTGTTTTCGTGTAACGCTAAGACGATAATCCACTACTCTACCGCCGTGAAATTTCTAGCACGCATCAATTACACTGATATATATATATAACATTCAAAACATTAAAACAAAATAAAAATTTAACACTTTCCCTTATTATAGTCTGCATCATCCTTGGTGTTATTTAACTTCATCCTGTTTTGGCTTACTAGGCCACTGTTTTGCTTCCTCATAGCAATCTCTTCTGCTATCCTGATTGGTTTTTATCTTTGATTCTAGTTGTATACACAAATACATATATAAAATTAAAACAAAATAAAAAAAATAACACATTTTAACTCTTTCTCTTATTATAGTCGGCATCATCCTTGATGTTATTTAACTTCATCTTGTTTTGGCTTACTGGCCCATAGTTTCGCTTCCTCATAGCCAATCTCTTATGTTATCTTGTTTGGTCTTTATCTTTGATTCTAGTTGTATACACAAATACATATATAAAATTTTAATTGATTTTTGTCTCCTTGAATCAAGCCATTTATTGAAGTAGCTGAATTAAGCACACTTGTTGAGGCAGTTGAATCTAGCCCACTTGTTGACTTAGCTGAATCTGGCTCACATGTTGAATTGGTTGAATCGAGCCCACTTACTAAAATGAGTGAATCAGACCCACTTGTTGAAATGGTCGACCAGGCTTATCACCATCTTCCCCATGGGAACGACTTAGACCCATATCTATGAATCTAACAACTAAAGAAAGCCATCTGGTTTGGCTAGGACATCCGTCAATCTTTCATTTAAAGGTGCTTCTTAACACTAGGGATTTAGTCCAACAAGACAAAAATCACCAATATAATTTTTGATATTCTACTTTGAAAATTTAATATTATTTTCTGTCTCATGTATAAAAGGGCCAACAAAATAAAAGCTATCGGGGGAACCTTTTTCCCTCTTCAACTCTTTCGAAGAGCTTCTTCTTCTTCTTTCTCTCTCTCTCTTTCACACACTCTCTCACTCTTCCTCACTCTCTCTCTCTCACTAAAACTCTTTGAATTACATAAACCTCTGAGAACTCGTCTTCCTCCGATTGATTGGAGGTCAGAAATCAATTTTTTTGCCTAAGGTTCCCTCTAGGCATTTCTTCCGTTTCACTCTTACCATACATCCTCTTCCAACAATATCGGAGGTCTTTCAACAATTTGCATGTACTAAACGACAATACCGGACCACCCTACGTCCTATCCGTAGTCAACACCAGTAATCCCCATTTAATCTCTAATCAGCCTTGCATGATGCTACTCAATCTCATATATTTTGTATTGGGTGCAATTCATTGATGATGTTAGTTGAGAGCTTAATGATGTAAATAATGAAAGTCAAATGTAAAAAATTATGTAAAATATTTAAATATCGACATTTTGAGTTTTCAGTATGTAATCTTTCTTATTTATATTTACTTAAAGTTTAAGAAGTAATAGAATAAAAAATTTATAGCAACAAGGAAAGTTATATTTTGCCCGGACAATAATAATATTCATAAATTAAAAACTTAAAAGAGTTTATGGAGAAATAGGAGTTCCGATCTTGAAAAGGGTATTCATGTACTGCAACCCGGCGCCATTTATTTCAATCTCAGTTCTTTCATGTGACCCTTTCGCAGTGGTGACAATAATGGCAGAGCAGGAGAGAAGCAGGACTGCTATTGCTATATAAATTCAACTCCCTCTGCCTACTTGTCTACTCGCTCACGACCGTTAACTAAAGGTAGTTCAGTTGGTTAGAGGGCCAAAATGGCTCTCTTGCTTTATTCCTCGCCTTCCTCGCTCATCTCCTTCTTCCACTGTCTTTCCCTGTTCTTCTTCATCTACCTCAGCTCCTCCATTGCCCTTGCCTTCCCTGTCCACCAACAAGAGCACCATCCACACCACATTGCAGCTACCCATGACTACAGTGATGCCCTCACCAAGTCTATTCTTTTCTTTGAGGGTCAAAGGTCGGGAAAGCTTCCTCCAAACCAGAGGTTGAAATGGAGGAGAGACTCTGGCCTTTCTGATGGCACCGAGATGCAAGTAAGAACGCGCTGAACTTCTCTATTTGATGTTTTTTCTTTTGTTTTGAATTTTTATTTTTAAATTGGAAAAATGCAGGTAGATTTGGTTGGTGGTTACTATGACGCAGGGGATAACGTGAAGTTCGGATTCCCCATGGCTTTCACTGCTACCATGCTCTCTTGGAGTGTGATTGAGTTTGGTGGCATGATGAAGGCTGAGCTCCAAAACGCAAGGGAAGCCATTCGATGGGCTACTGATTACCTCCTCAAGGCTACTGACCATCCCAATACTATATACGTTCAGGTGGGGGATGCGAACAAAGACCATGCTTGCTGGGAGAGACCAGAGGATATGGACACTCCAAGAACAGTTCTCAAGATTGACGAAAGCAACCCCGGTTCCGATGTCGCCGCCGAGACCTCCGCTGCTCTTGCCGCTGCTTCCATTGTCTTCAGACGAGACGATCCCATTTACTCTCGAATACTTAGAAAGAGAGCCATCCAAGTAAAAAAGTTCCCCAAAAACCTCTTCGCAGTATCCATAAGCCCCTACAGCAGATGCTAACCTTCCCTCTTCCAATTTCTTTGTAGGTGTTTGCATTTGCTGACAAGTACAGGGGCCCTTACAGCAACGGATTAAAGACCTTTGTTTGCCCCTTTTACTGCTCCTACTCCGGCTATCAGGTTTTCTCCCAATTCATTTTTTTTCTTCTTTTGGTCCGCTGTCTCTGTTTCTATCCCTGATATCCTGTGTTTCTCTTCAGGACGAACTGCTGTGGGGAGCCGCATGGCTTCACAAGGCGACCAGGAACCCCGTTTATTTGAACTACATTCAAGCTAATGGACAAATCCTCGGCGCCGATGAGTCTGACAACACCTTCGGCTGGGACAACAAGCACGTCGGAGCTCGTATCCTTCTCTCTAAGGTCCCCTCTTTTCTCCTCTCCATTTCCCTCGAACTCAGCTTCAAATTAACCTCCACATTGTTCTCAACAGGCATTCCTTGTTCAAAACCTCAAATCTCTCCACGACTACAAAGGCCACGCTGACAACTTTATCTGCTCCCTTATCCCGGGAGCCTCCTCACAAACCCAATACACCCCAGGCGGCCTACTCTTCAAGATGAGCGACAGCAACATGCAGTATGTCACATCAACTTCCTTTCTCCTCCTCACCTACGCAAAATACCTAACTTTCTCCTCCAAGTTGGTAACTTGCGGTGGAGCAACGGTCACCCCGCATAAGCTTCGCGCAATTGCTAAGCGACAAATCGATTATCTCCTCGGCGATAATCCTCTGAGAATGTCTTACATGGTGGGGTACGGGTCGCGATACCCTGAGAGAGTCCACCACAGGGGATCCTCGCTGCCATCAGTTGCAGATCACCCACAACGCATACCATGCTCCGCGGGATTCGCGGCACTGAGTTCGTCGGCGCCTAACCCGAACGTTCTCGTTGGCGCGGTTGTAGGCGGGCCCGATGCTCAAGACCGTTTTCCTGACGAGCGGTCTGATTATGTGCAGTCGGAGCCGGCAACGTATATTAACGCTCCACTTGTTGGGGCTCTGGCTTACCTCGCTCATTCATCCGGTCAGCTTTGATTTTGAGTTATTTAGCCGTTAAGTTCTTGCTAACTAGTGTAGTTGGTTTATGGTAAATTGTCAAGTGGACCCCGGTGCGTCTAAAGCAAGGGCACGCGAGGGTTATATTGATAATTGTTGTGTGAAACCTTTAGTATTGTTGTGCTTTAGTTTTATTTTTTTATTTTAGTGGCTATGTGGGGCTTGTTTGTGTTGGCCTGCCTTTCGTAAACGTGTAGTGAAGCTGACTAATGAGAGGGCTTCTTGTTTTGCTTAACAAAATTACTGTTAAGAGACTATCTTGGTGATTCAGTTAGCTTATATTTGAACTGGTTATGTGCCTACATAATTGATATTGTCATCAACATTGAATAGTTTTTTATAGGTTCATTACTGGTATCTTTTTTTATAAATGGATTTGTGTGAATACTCTTTAAATTTAAAATTTATGATTTTTTTAAGTAATCCTTCCATCTAGAACATTGTGCATTGCTGAATGAGATGCTAGGCCGCCCCAAGAAAGCTTCGAAATTTATTTGCTCCATCTTTCTTTAAGTTTTATTGGAATGACAAGGATTAGGGTGCACACTCCACAAGAGGGGAAATCATTTTGTGTTGGGTGACACTTGTGCCACAGCACTCCAGTAATATTTCGATAGTTGAATGTGTGGCTTTACGTCCGAACTAATTCTGTGCATGTGATATTGGGCTAAGTGTTGGGGGTATTGTAACTCACCCCTAGTACCACCTCAATATTACCCCCAATATTACCCTAATATCACCCCAATACCAATACTACATTTATTGATTCACCCCCTAACATCACCTCAATACCACACCAATAACCACCTCAATACTACCCCACAATATCACCCAAATATGACCCTAATACTGCCTTTATACGACCCCAATACCACCCCGATACCACCCCATTTCACCACCTCAACAATATCACTTCAATATCACTCGAATACTACCCCACCACAACAATATCACCCAAACATGCACTTGAATACCACGTCAATATTACCCAAATACCACATGCATTGATTCGTCCCCTAAGACCTCAATAATACCACCTCAAAATTATCCCAATACCATCCTAATACGATATGCATTTATTCACCCTCAAGGCCTCAACAATATTACCTCAATATCACCACAATATGACTCTGATATCATATGTATTGACTCACTCCCAATACCACCTCAATATCACCCCAATATCATATTAATACCACTCCAATATCACATGCATTGATTCACACCTAACACCACCTCAATAATATCACTTCAATACCATCCAACAAAATTTCAACAATACCACCTCAATACTACCCCAATAACACAAATTACACGTATTGATTCACTCCCATGACCTTAACAACATCACGAGTATCACCTCAATACTATCCCAATATCACTTTAATACCACCAAAATATCACCTCAATATCATCTCAATATCACACCAATACATGTATTGATTTACTCCCAAGATCTCAACAACACCGCGTCAATACCACCCCAATACCATGCCAATACCACCTCAATATTACCTCAATACCACCCCGGTATCGTAAATATTGATCCACCACACAACTTTAAGAAGAGCAAACCAATTTATATACTTATATATATATTGGTGTATATGTACTAATGTTTCATGTGATATTAAAGATTTTAATACTAGATGCATTATTTATATATACTTTTAAGTTTTCACTTTTATCATATAATGAATTTGTGCTTTCTATGAATTGTTTGTTGGGATTTAATTACAAGGATGCTTACATGTAGACGCAGACCTTCCGCTATCAGAGTAGTATGTGACCAAATACGTGGAAGCCTGAATGATGAAGCTATTATCGTTTTGAGGGATCTCAGTTTATTCCAATTCATTGACATGTATTTGTATCAATAAGAAAATACATTGACCTTGCAACTTCTGAAATGTTGGGATGTTAATGAGAAGGTTTTCAAGATCGGCGGAAAATCCTTAGGCTTCAATGTTGATGAGGTTGCATTGATAATAAGAATGCCCAACAGAGAGGAACCCGTGATTTGGGACAAATCTGTAATATATGTACTATCAAGCATAACTTCATTACAAGTAAAAAACGATATCATGAGTATTGTTATAGGGGAGTTTTTTTGTCCTGTTGTTGAGTTAGTTATTAACTTTTTTTATCAAACTTATTTTTTCCCTCGAACAATTATGACATGCTAAGCGGACTGTACAATATTGTCGAAAATGTGCATAATTTCTTAATTTCAACTGGGCAAGTATATCTTATCAAGCAAATTGATATTAGTGCTTGAAAAATAAAGCGGCAACAATTGCTTGGATATGTGAATGAATTTGTTGTCTTGCAGATAGTGAGCATTTTATATGCTTGAAGACACTTGACTTCTTATTTTAATTCAGACTAATGTATTTCCTTTCTCATTTTAGATGTGGTTTTGTGAGCACACATACGTAATCACACCTAGCATACTTGAAGCTCGACAACGAATTTTGATGTGGTTGAAAAGCGGGATTAGTGCAATAAAACTTGTGTTTCCTTTTTCGCGAAGATGCATCCCGAGCATGTGCGTTTACTTACTAATTATTTGGAATTACTACATGATATTATCTTTTTCATCTGTAATTATGTAATATGAGAACTAATCTTTTATTCATTTTTTTGGCAGATTTTTGTTTCGTTCAAAGACTTAACTGTGGTGGAGCTACAACTGCTTGCTCCATTGACACGTGAGCACACATTCACCTACGAGTCTCGTTCATGACATCGCTATCAGCCAGCCGCCCCCCCCCCCCCCCCCCCCCCCGACACCTGATTTTTTTTTTTAATTCAAACTAATGTATTTTCTTTCTCATTTTAGATATGGTTTTATGAGTACACACATGTAATCTCACCTAGCATACTTGAAGCTCAACAACAAATGTTGAGGTGGACGAAAAGCGGGATTTGGTGCAATAAACCTTATGATTCTTTTTTTGCTAAGATACATCCTGGACAAGTATGTTTACTTACTAATTATTTAGAATTACTACAAGATATTATTTTTTGCATATGTAATTATGTAATTTGAGAACCAATCTTTTATTCATTTTTTTGCAGGTTTTTGATTTCTTCAAAGACTTAATTGCAGTGGAGCTACGACTGCTTGCTCCATTGACACATCAGCCCACAAATTCGCTCGTGAGTCCCGTTCATGACACCGCTATCAACCCTCTCATGAAATCTCGTTGCCAAAATCACCGCAAGCATTGATTTTGGTGTTTGGCCATTCTTCATCCCCACAAAAAATTTGAAGCGCAAGGCGTCGAAGAAATCTTTTCTTTTATGAAGAGGCATGAACATAGGTATTCTGAGTTCGAGGCTTCAATTAATAGTAAATTGACTGATATTCACAACAGAGTATGTGCTCTTGAGCGAAAACAGAAGGCAACACCAACTTATAAATCCTCTCTAAGAAGCCTTATACAACGTGTTAAAGCTAGGCAAGCTAGGGAGAATATTAAAGCAAGGCAACCCATTCATGTCATATGAATTTAAGAAGAGGTTTGTAGTACAGACCGACATTTAATCACATGAGGAAGAGAGCGTTCTTGCTATAGTTGCTATGGAGGAGGAGACGAAGGATGGAGAAAGTGAAACAGACTTGGTTGAAACTTTGAAGGAGGTATTTAAAGCATCCGTCTGTTTAAAAAAGGAAAGGATCGTTTTGGACTTCCACAACACAAATGTATTTATTATATATTTTACTTAGTGTCTATTATCAATAACATTAGATTGTGTTCAATTATATACTTTATTTGAACCTATGGGAAAAGCCTATGGTAATTTTTGTTGATTTTCTTGCGGCACATATGTTCGATTTGATTGACTGATACTGTGCACGATTCACAAGAAAGTCAATTGTTATTTACATTTTTTGTGAATTTAAAATAATAATTAAATTTATTTCGCAAAACATATGTATTGTCCGTGCAGGGATGATATTATGGCCCATGTCGGCAATATTGTTATTATACATTCGAAAATTGACGAAGTTCTCACAGTACATAGCCGAAGAAGACATCGATGCATTTGTGTTTATTTTAGAAGAGAAGAGGAAATAATCTCGAT